GAATATCGACTTTAGAACGTCGGGGATTTATATAAGATATTTTTAAATTACTCCTAAGTGCATTAGAGCAGTGGAAACCAACTATCGGCGGCGCATCGTGATAGCTTAGGATCAGTATAAAAATTAGAAATCTAAAGATTCTGAAATCCGCTCAGTTATATATAGATATCTAAGATGAAAAGTTAATATTGCGAAAAGTCTCGTATATTTCAAATTCTTAGAGGAAATGGTGATTCATAAAATTTTCTAGCTCTTGTAAAGCTCTTATTTAGCTGCTATAAATTCATTCTAATACTGTCTGTATTTATTTAAATATTATCATCTGCTCATATCAGCGTAAAATAGAGAAGATCGACGAAACATTAACAGAAACATTTAGATCTTGTAGTAGGTACAATTTCATGAGTGTACACATTTGTGCACACACACATACATATGACGCATATCAAGCACACATACGTCGTCGTGTCGGATAATAGAATGGTTTCCCGATGTTATCGTGGCAAGACGCGTTGCACCGAATTTACGAGATATCGTACGGTGGTGAAAATGCTAAAGCAACAGTTATCCGCCCCCAGGAGTTTCCTCTCGAGCAACGTCGGTATGTATGTACGTACCGAGCGATGTGTATGTATAACAGAGCGTGGGAGATCTGGATTATACTAAGCTGCGATTGCCTTGCGGCGGCCTCATAAAAATATGAGTAGAACTTTTCAAACGATCACACGGGACGGCGAAAAATGGCGAGCTTCTGGATACCGTTCAATTACCCTTTTTTTTCGCAGAATCGAGAACCGTTCGCGATTTGATGCATCGGGCAGGAGGATATTTACAGTTTCATCGGGGATGATCCGGTAGAGATTTCCAGGAACGTTGAAAGCAAAATAAAATATAGGTATATATATATCGGTGGGCAGCGTTTTCCGCTGTGTATATAATAAATACGATACGATAAAAGATAGACTTTTTGAAAGCTTCGCGGTAAACTGGGACTAAAAGTAAAGTAAAATTTAAGAGATTCACGCGATGCATTTTGCAGATATAAATGACGGACTAGTAGCATTTTTATTCAAAATGTTTCAATGCATATATTCTTCTACTTTCTATTTATGTGTTTATTATATACTTATATCTTGCGACAAATATACGAATGAAGGAAAGAAGGTTTTGTTGAATTATCTCAATTTTAGTTAGATACAGATCAAAATTAATTTTGCTTAATCATCAAAATAATTATGTAAGACGAGTACGATATTGCTACAAAAAGTTTTAATTTCCTAGTAACTTTGTATATATCATACATAATTATTTTGATTAAAGAATTTTTTATAAGATTTTAGTAAGCAAGCTGTTGATGTTCAACAAAATTCCTTTCAGATCTATTTAGCCAAATTCTTATAGATATTTCAGCAAAATTATTCTTCCCGTGTAGACTTAACCCAGTTTTACTTAAAATTCGTTGACTTGTTTAATTGTAACTCGATTTGATCGTTTTACTTATCACATATTGCAAAATCTTTTTCGAAATTCACGTAAATATTAGAATGGCTGAATCAAGAAAATTCCATCAACCACGCGGTAGTGTGAAAAAGCTAAAGTTTGTCGCATGGCAACCCGTATCTGACACTGTACGACACGAACGACAAGCAATCTCTCTGGGAGCCGCCAGTCATGTATCACGTTGTAACGCCAGCGTTTCATCGCCCGTAGTTTCGCGCCGCGATCTAATTCTCTCTGTATGCTATTTCGGAGGACGCGAGCGCGAATGTATTGGATATGTTCCACGGGGACCGAATGATTAAAATTAGCGTGGAAACACTGGCACGGCGTACGTTCGATAGAGTTTCCTCCACTCGCGACAAATGATTCACTAAGGAGATGGAACTCTCTCTCTCTCTCTCTCTCTCTCTCTCTCTCTCTCTCTCTCTCTTCTCTTGTTCCTCCCGCTTCGGGGTGCCATACTCCATCTAATCTAACTTGAGTACGTTCTCGTCATTACTCAGCGAGTTCACTTATACGTAAACGCTCGCTTCTCTGGAGATTGGACGGCGAACGGAGCATCTATCGGATGTATCCGCG